GTCTGGGAAGGGTTCCTGTGGTGGTTGCCTCACTGGTGATGGCAACAAGGGACCTGGCTGAGGGGAAAGCACCACTTGGCTTGGGGAAGTGCTTTCCAGGGGGCACATCCAGGGGCAAAGGTTGGCAGGAGGGCCTCAGGTGGCTTGTGTCGGTGGGGGTCTTCTGCTGGCTATGAGACTCCCCTCTAGTTCTTGGGGTCGTTGTTGCTCTGTTAGCTCATCTGCACAGTGTCTCCGCAGGACCTACGTATGGCCTAGGAAGCAAGGACAGGCATCTCCTGAATCAGTGTCGTAGTCTGGCCCTGCCTACCTCACCCCTCAGAGCGACTGTTCTGAGGCCTCATGCACGTCCAGCCTGTGGTCTGGCTTGGGCCACCTTAGTGTACCTCAGAGTAGGCCTCTCGCCTCAGAGTCTTGGGAATAAGTAGTCTGGGATTTTGGTCCCTTCCCTCCTAGAAAGCTGACTGCTTCCTATTAATTGGCCCACCTGCTTGCTGGAGCCCGCCTGCTCCTCACGTGGCCTTGGGCAATGCTGGCCTTCAGTGTGTTACCCACGCGAATTCTCCTCAGGGGTTAACAATTCCCTGGGGTGCCTGGGTCAGAGTGTTTGGCCCAGGGTCCATCTGACCCTAGTTGGGGGGTATTACCCTCCTCCCACACTGTGAGCCCTGAGTCCCAGAAGCCTCTGGTGCAGCCTGCTGCAAGCTGAGTGGTGGTGGTGGTGGTGGTGACAGGTCTTTTTTTTTTTTTTTTTTTAATTTTTTTTTAGTGGTGACAGGTCTTAACGGTCAGCATCCTGTTCTTTCAGGTCCAGGACCTACAGCTGGAACGGGAGATGGCACTGGCCACCAACCGGAGCCTGGCGGAGCGGAATCTGGAGTTCCAGGGTCCCCTGGAGATCAGCCGCTCAAACCTCTCAGACAAGTACCAGGAGCTCCGCAAGCTCGTGGAGCGGTGCCAGGAGCAGAAGGCCAAGCTGGGTAGGGGTGGTCTGGGGGTAGGCTCTGGGGGCTCCTAGGGTAACTCGGAGTCCCCGTTCAAGGTTGGACCGGGGAGAGCTCCTGGAATAGTGCAGGAGAACGGGTTCCCTTTCCCTTCCCCGGGGCCGGAAAGGGCCCACAGTGAGGGTGACCATGTGCCTGGCCCTGTGCTAAGTGCTTTACATATATTTTCTCACCACAGCCTGGAAAAGTAGGTAACGGTGTTGTTTCAGAGATGAGGAAAATGAGGCTCCGAGAGCATCAGGAACATGGCCAGGCTTCTGTTGGCTAAATTTGGGATTTGAACCCAGAGAGTCTGCACCCTGGGCTGTTGCCAACAACACTGCCAGCTCAGCTTCTACGCTTTACAGAGCTGGTCGGGGCTCTCTGTGTCCCGGGACCTGCCATCTGTAAAGTGGGGATTTGGGGGGCACTGTCCTGGTCTCTAAAGTGAAGAAGCCTGATGCTTGGACAGCAGACCCCAGGGATCTGCAGTAGACCCTGCTGGGCCCCAGGCCACACGGAACTGGGCCTCAGCACGTGCAGAGGACATTCTGAGGGGCTTTGCCGAGAGCTCAGCCTCTTACACCAGATCTAAAAGGCACGTTTAGAATGTCGATCTTTCCGCCCTCCCTCCCAGAGAAATTTTCTTCTGCACTGCAGCCAGAGACCTTGTTAGACCTTCTGCAGATCGAAGGCATGAAGATTGAAGAGGAGTCTGAGGTAAAATGGCCACTGTCACCCCCTCTTCCGTGGGTAGTGTCAAGCTCTGGAGCAGGAGCCCTTAGGGATGAGCACGGGTGCCTGCAGAGTTGGGACGGGGGCTTTAGTAGATGGCAGGGATTGACACAGTCAATCCTGGTGGCAACCCTGTTGGATGCAGGTCACAGGAACCCTGTCTCCCTGGCTGGAGCAGAAGTGGGCAGCTGGTATGGCTTGGTCAGAGGACTGCTGGCAGACCTGGGTGGAAGGGTGGCACAGTGGGGGCCCTGAGGACCGATGTCAGGCCCCCAGCCCCTCCCAGGCCACCTGGGCTCTCTGTTCCATTTCCCTCTGGCCATCTCGTCAGTCCATGGCCAGATGAGCTCCCTCCAGTTCTCTGTGCTCTGGGTAGAAGAAGCTGCCAGACCCTCCCAGCCCAGGGCACTTATGCTGGCAGCCGAGTAGCTAGTGTTCATCCATTTATTCATCACATACATGCAGGAGCCACTGTGAGCCTGGCATGATGCCAGGGGTGGGGGAACTCAGTGGCCACCACAGTCCCTACCCTCTGGGAGCTGCCATCCCCATGAGGAGCACAGAACAGTGCAGGTGGAATATGGCAGCGGTGATAGGGCCTTAAGAAGAAAGTCCCAGGCAGGGGCCAGAGAAGACAGGGAGTAGCTGCAGCTGGCTGAGGGGGGAGGCCCACACCCCAGGGGACATGGGTGGCCTTGATCCCGGGCGGGCCCCTGTTGTCACCAGACCTTACATCTTCTAGGCCATGGCTGAGAAGTTCCTGGAGGGAGAGGTGCCCTTGGAGACGTTTCTGGAAAACTTTTCCTCCATGAGGATGCTGTCCCATCTGCGGAGGGTGCGTGTGGAGAAGCTCCAGGATGTGATGAGGAGGCCCAGAGCTTCCCAGGAGCCAGCTGGTGATGCGCCTTCTCCACGCCCACCACCCCCACCTTGCCCGGCCCCCCCGGTGACACCCCCAGTGGCCGAAGAGCCACCCCCACCACCATCAGTAGTGCCTCCCTACCCTTTGCCCTACAACCTGTCTCCTGGCCTACCTGTGGGCCCTACGGCCCAGGGTGCGCTCCCACCGGCCCCCTTCCCTGTGGTGTCCCAGCCTTCCTATTCCTACAGTGGGCCCTTGGGCCCTCCTTACCCATCAGCCCACCCGGGACCCCGGGGTGCTGCAGGTTATTCCTGGTCCCCACAGAGGAGCACACCACCCCAGCCAGGCTATCCCATGGCCCCCACTGCTGCCTCTGGCCCCGGGTACCCCTTGGCAGGGACCCGGGCCCCCAGTCCAGGATATCCTCAACAGGCCCCCTACCTCTTGACTGGAGGAAAACCTCCCTACCCAACGCAGCCTCAGCTCCTGAACTTCCCAGGCCAGCCCCAGGCCTCAGGCCCCCCTCAGCCCCCTTACCCCCCAGGGCCCACCCCTCCCTATGGCTTTCCACCACCTCAGGGTCCAACCTGGCCAGGGTACTAAACACAGTCCTGGCCCTCAGCCCTCCTCTACTTCCACCTGTACCACAACCTTTGGCCTGCCTCCCATTGAGACTCGAGGTTAAATTGGAAGCGGACTTGGGCACTCCTTGTGGACTTGTGTTAGGACACGGGGGCCTTGGGGGGACCTGGTTGGGAGTGTGTGGGCCTGGAAAGGCAACCAGGCGATGTGCTGGCCAGTCACAGACTTAGCGGCCCCTGCAGGGAAGGAAACACTTCTTTTCAGCCACTGGCTTCAGCTTTTCTGGTGCTCTCCAGGTGGGGGGGTGCTCTTTGTGGGTGTCCGTGTCAGAGACCAGCCTCATGTGTTTGTAGGCGTCTACTTGTGCCTGCACTCACAGACACTGGAACCAAATGCAGTTATCTCAGTGACGAGGGGGCTGGTGTCCAGCCCCTGCTCACCCCCTCCTTCCCTCCTGGGATTTAGGACGTTCAATCTGATGCTCAGGGCTGGGGATGCAACTCTGTGTCTGTCTGGTCCTTTCAAGGTTGGCCTGCCCCACGCACCATGGCTGGAGTTGGATCAGGGCGAGGGAACAGTTAGGAAAAACACTTAGTAATTTTTTTTTTAACACTTAGTAATTTTTAAGTCCCGTAAAGCCATAACTGAACTCTGATAGGCCAGTGTCAGATAAGTGTGTCCTCTGTTGCTGGTTTGTCCTCTGTTGTTGATGGCAGTGGAGCCAGAGCAGCGAGAAAGCTGGGGATTGTGAAGGCGGACCCAAGACCTTCCTGGCACTGGTTGGAGAATGTGGGGGTCGCCTTGCCTGGGGAGGAGGGAGCAGCACTGGCCCAGGAGGTCGTGGTCACCCTGGACTCACTTAGGAGTGGAAGGCCAGTCACCTCCCCAGCCACCCTCTCTTCTCTGGGGCCCATTGACTTCTGGGGTCCCCTCCCTCCCCATCCATCCACTCCTTTAGTGCCTTGAATCTCATCGCAGCAGCACCCCCGCCCACTTCATCTCTTCCCTCTGGCTCCCTAGTATTATTGCCCCAACCCCAGCACCCCTCCTCAGACAGACAGCAGGGGGTGCCCAGACAGGGACCTCCCACACGGTGCTTTCTCAGACACCATTGCTCTGTTGGACGGAGTCCGTTTCTTTGCTTCTCTCGTGTCTTTGGAATGTAAAGGGCAGAAATTGTGACTCCGTGCCACATGTAGCCCCAGCACACTGGGGCTTTTAAACGTGTTCAGTAATAAAAGACAATAGACCAAAGGGATGTGATGAATGAAGCATTAACTTGGTTGTTCCAGATGGGAACCAATCTCAAGGGCAGATTCTGGAGCTGCTATCAGCTATATGAAGTCATATGTGCCTTGAAATGTCCACTACTTGAGTTCCTAGCATCTAGTGGGCCTGGGGTACTGGGGGCCCCCGAGGAAACTCGATCTTCTGGTGCCTGCCCCCTGGCCCTGGCCTGCATGCCATCAATGGGTATTCGCCGTGAGATGCTCCATTTACACGTACGCTGTCGGTTCCTTGCCAATTGTGCTTGCTTCTTGTAAGTTATTTATAAAGAGAAATCACTAATGGACTCTACTGGTTTGAGAGCTTCTGGAACTGTGTGACAGATTGCTGGTATGTTTGTATAATTAGTTGCCATAATAAACTTCAGTGAGTTACAGATCGTGCTGTGGCTCCAGGGGGTTTGAGAAGTAAAGATGTGGCTGCTGGAGGGGAGGGTTGGGGGGCTGGATTGGGTTGGGTTGTGGGGGTTGGAAACCGTCAGGATCATGCTCTGCTGAAAGGCCTCTTTGATCAGGTCCACAAAGCCTCATCTATGTGGATATCCTCTCGGCCTCCTGTCCTCCCCTGCTCCTTTGGCCCTGGCTTGGCTCTTACGACCTTTCCCTTTCTTCTCCTGCACTTGGGTTTTCCAAAATCTTAGGTGTTTTCACGCAGGGACCTGCATTTTCGCCTCTTCTTGGGCCGAGCTTGGGCCATGCAAGTCCACCGGCCCCCACGAGGGGGCGTGCGGGGCCCAGCCTAGCGAGGGTGGCACCGCATCTGCGCCACCTGCTGTCTACCTGTATGAAATGCCAGGATGCCACCAGGTCAGGGCCAGGTCTTCCCGCACAGTTTATAAACGGAAAGAGAGGAGGCAGCGGGCCACTGGCTGTGAGCCCAGTGGTCTTTGCCCACCACCCAGCCTACTCCCTCTCTAACCCACCCTGAGCTCAGCTGATTCTGTCATGAGGTCTGGGAGGGAGTCTTCTGCTCTCACCAGTAAGGGCAGCTTTGGGGGAGTCAGGAGGCCAGGCTTCTGATGGACTCTCAAGTCAGCCCATCTGCTCTTCCTTCCCAGCAAAGTGACATGGACAGGCTGCTTGTGGACAGCGTGCAGTGGTGCTTTGGACTGCCAGTACTGAATACACTTTAATACATGCATGATCTTGTTGGGTCCTTTCGACAGCCCTTTGATCCCCAATTTTAAGCAAGGGAGGAGACTGCAGGGGGTGGGTGGGCCAGTGACTAGGTCTCAAAGCCTGGAGGGGTGGGAGCAGGGCTGGCACCTGGCTGGCTGACCTGGCTGCAGGGGTTCCTCCACCATGCCATGTGGTGTCAGAAGTCTTCCGGTTTCCAGATGTCTTCCGGTTCCCAGTCAGGAAGAAGGTTTGGAAAATCTAAGCCCATGTTGAGAATCCTTGGCCTTTAGTCAATTTTTTTTTTTTTTTTTTTTTACTGTCGGTTGCCCCCTCCTGAACTCTGCGCCTTGCATGTGTCCAGGTTTAAGGACAGGTGGCAGGGTGCATGAAGGGGCTGCCGAGAGGAACCACCACTTTCTATGAAATGGTTCGAAGGAGAGATGCTTCAGCTGGTCATCTGTGCATGAGCATCCTTCTGCTCCTTGCTCTCCCTTCTCTCCAGGCCCTTCGGATGCCTCTCCCCACCCCTGTATCTGCCACATTGAATCACCAGGCGCCCTCCCCCAGACCCCAGGGGGTCCCTGCCTGCAGAGCCAGCTGCCCAAGGACACACCCAAAGCACCAAGTTTAGAGCCTCAAGGTGATTCCTAGCTTATGTGAGAAGGACATTTTGCTGATTCAGCTGGGGCAAGACCACTTGAAATGTCCCTTTGGCTATCATTCAGTACTCCCAGATCCCAGAGGCATGACGGCTTTGAAGCAAGGCTTGTCACTGGGTACTCAGAGTGAGCTTTCCCATCAGGGCCTCAGTCTTCTTTACACAAAAGGAGGAGAATGTCCTTGAATCAGTCTATCAGGCTGCACGCTCTCATGCCCCCCAATCCCCTGACTGATCATGCAGGTAACAATTTAGGGAAATGGGCTGTTGTGGAGTGGGGGGGGGGGACATACAGCACTCCCCTCCCTGATGAAGGGGCGGCCCCTACTCTGCTCTGGCAGGTGGCCATAAGGCAAGAGGTTGAACCTGAGGTGGCCCAGGCCACAGCTCAGCATCCTCTGTGGTGAGGGAGGCGGCCCAGGCCTTGTGGGCTAATCCTTCCTGCTAAGGCCAGAGCCTGACGAAAGGCCAAGATGGTTCCTATTCAACTGTTAACCAAACAGGCCTTTGTGGAGTGCACCACCCAGGCCTGCCACCACTGGGAAAAGCTTTCTAAAGAGACCCCTCAATGCAGCTCCTTTTTTTGGGGAGGGGGTTAAATTGGCCATGGTTGTGTTGAGGTCATGCCTGGTGGGCAAGCTAGGGAGTAAAGAGCTTTTATCAAGAAAGGTGCTGGTAGAGACATTGGGTGCCTCACCGCCTCTGCCCTGTAGGGGCCAAGGGCATGCCTCCCCAAGATGCGCCACTTTGGCTCATGGACTATTTTGAGCTAAAGGCAATCAAGACTCAGGGCTCACCAGAAACCATTGCCCCTCCTTTAACTACACAGAAGAATCTATATTGGAGGTCTTTCCAGAATAAGTGTTATTGCTAGAGATCACTTGCACCTGAGTGACCCATCTATAGGGCAGGGCAAACATCTCCTTACCAAACACTCCCTCCTCCTAGTGCTCTGTGAAGTGCATTCCTTCCCCTTGCAGTCCCAGAGCCCTGCCCCTTCCTCTTAGTTCAGAATGACATGGAGATCTCTGGGCCTGTCTCTGCAGTTTCCACATCTGCTTGGATCCTCTGTACATACTTCTGTTCAGTTTGATTTTCTCCTGTTCACCTGTCTCAGGTCAACTTGATCCTTAGTCCAGCTTGAAGGACTTCTGAGGTGACAGGAGTTCTTGCTCCCCAACGGCCCTCCCTGAAAGCCATCTCTCAGTTCCCTTTTGAGCAGCCCCTCACCCCTGCCGAGTGTAGGAAGGGGACTGGGCGCCCCTGTTTCTGGATCCCTAGCATGGTTGGGGCAGATCCGAGACTTGGGTTTGGCCACTGGGCTCTCATGGGACTCTGGGTCCCAAGCAGGGGAGGACAGGAGGCCTGGTTGGAAGGTATTGGCAGAGAGCTGACCAGACTCTTCTAGCAAGCTACTGTCCTCGGATCCCCTGATTCTATGAACACCCCTACCCCATATCCTTCTAGTAACACCCCATTGCTCTTCCTGGGTTGGCTTCTGTAGCTTGGGCCATGAAGAACTGTTGCTGTCAGTGGAGACAGTGGCAGATCATGTGGAGGAAGGCCCAGACCCAACACGCCTTCTTAGGGAACTGGTGCCCAAGGGCTGACCTGGTGGGGACCTGGCTTGGCCTCTGCCTTTACTAGATCTTCAAGCTCCTGTGAGATGTCCCCACTCACTCACCCTTCCTTCCTCACGAAGGACATCCCAGCATCACACGGTAATGTGTGTGTCTAGATACAGTGACTAGTAGAGACAGTTTCCATTGGGAGAATGAATGATTTAACTTCTATGAACGTCCAGCCCTGTTCTCTGCCTCTCGGCTCGGAAGTTAACTGTGATTGGCTGAAACCACTTTGGCTTTGAACTTTAAACTGCTGTGCAAAACCAAACCCCCAAGCACCTCGGATTTGCTAGGTCCTTTCTTTGGTCCTTTCTTCACGGGCCCTGGGGTGGCATGGTGCCTTTGGGCTTGGCAGCCAGCAATCCCAGAGATTTGGTGCTCTCTGTTAGGGCTTGGAATGAGGGGCTGAGGGGCGGCCACAGAGGGAGGGTGATTGGGCCCTGTGTCAGGCAGTGGCTGCCTGCTGTGCTGAGTGGCTCTGTTTCGGGCTTGCCAGCATCCCCAGAAGGGTCCAGAAGCTGGACCCTCAACTGAGGAGCAGAGGCCCTCTAGTTCGCAGGAAGTAGAAAAAGTGTTATTTACAAAGAACATATTAAAAATATAATAGAGAACCGAGTTTCCCCTGCACTCCCCTATCCCGGCTCAGAGGGGAGCTCCTTCCTCACTGGGGCCAGAATCTCAGAACCAATTCCTCCGGGTGCTGTTCCCCACATGTCTGATTTTGAGGGTTGGGGGATTCTTGTTTCTGGGCTATGCTCAACTTGGAAGGGCAGCCGAGCTGTGTTGGGGGTTTTCACTGGGCCAGGTTCCGGCGGCCCACAGCTCTAGGGACTTAGGATATGTCTGAAAGCACCCTTGCCTGCGTCCATGTTCTAGCTGGGGCAGAAATTATTTCCAGGCAGAGTCGTCTCAGGAAACAGGTCTGCCTCTTGATGTTTTGTGCTTGGTACCTGGTTCTGTGGGGAGAGAAGGAAACAGGTCAGAGGGGGAAACCCTGCACCCTAGAGAAGGTTCAGGGAGGTGAGGGATAGGCCCCAAGCCCCCGGTTTGATAACAGGGACAGAGGCTGTCCCTCTGGGCCAGGGGCTACCTCTTCCTGCTGGCAGCTCCACAGGGGTGTGAGTCCATCAGGAAATTCTCAGGGGCTCTTTTGGGTGGCCTTCTAAGATGGAGTTTAGGAGGAGGTGTTCAGGTTGACCATCCTTCTGCTACTATTGCCAAATTAGTCCCCATTACCAATATAGTGGTTTTTTTTTTTTTTTTTTTTTTGTCTATGAGAGTTAAGATGTACAGATGCCCCCATTCTGGATGGGCAGGGCGGGCAGGAGGTGAGGAATTGAGGGGCCAGGGCTTATCTGTAGGGCTGTTCGGGGATCCCAGGGGGCGGGCCAGGGAGCCCAGCTCACCTTTCACAGTCTCTGAGCCCCGTGTAAATCGTAGTCACTATCAGAGGAGTTATCAGGCTGGGTGGAAACACGATTCAGGGCCCCTTCCAGAGCTGCAGAAAGAAAAGAGGCCATTTGCAGCAGGCTTACCCCACCAGGCTACACAGAGAGAGCCCCTCAGAGCCCAGGGCCCCATGGGGTCTGAGGATCACAGGGGCTTAGGAGCTGGTGGGTGGCTTGACAGTCCTGTATCTGTTTTGATAAAAATCAGCCGGTGTTCACTAATGATACTGAACTCTGGGCTCCCTGGGGGCTTAATTGTTAGTGCCAGTCAGGGAACATTCAATTCAGGCCTCCTGCAGGTCTGCAAGGGATCCAAGGGCCTCATTTACCATCTGGCCCACAAGGCCCTGCAGAGAAACAGGCCTGTTAAGTCACAGCAGTGCTGTGGTTTAATGGCATCTCAGCATATTCTCTCTAGCTGAGTGGCTCATGGTCTCTGGGGGGACAAGCTGAGGCCGGTTAAGGCTGGATCTGTTTCATACCACTGTCAAAGGGCAGTTAGAGCCCCCACTCCCCTGGGGCATCCTGTTTCTGGGTGTGACCTGTGCTCCAGCCTGCCTTCACCCTGGAAGCCTGGCTGCTGCTTACCTGCATAAGCAGAGACGTGGGAGTTCCTGGGAGGCTGGCTGTATTCATTCTCCACATGTGAGACAGCAGGGTTCTCAACCTGGGACCGGACGGTCGCCGTGTGGTTGCGATGGAAAGACACTGAGCAAATGCAGGAGATGGTGTCATTAGCCTTCCTGCTCTGTCTTCCTCTGCTCCTCCCCCCCAACAGGGGCCCGGAATCGAGATTTCTTGTTTCCATTGTAGGATGGGGGAAAGGCCAAGGGCACCCACACCTCCTCACTGCATCCCTCTGCTCCTTTCTTCCTGAGCAGGTGCATTCTTGCGGGGACTCAGACTTCCTGAGCAGCTTGGGTTTGGCCAGCAATCTGGCAGGGTGGGCCTTCAGCTGTCGGTTAGTCATTCATCAGGTATTTATTAGGCAGGGATTGGAACACAGGTGATAGGCCAGATACAGTCCCTCCTCTCCTGGAGCTGAGGGGCTTTATATTGTAAAAGAGACTTCACAGCACACCTTGATTTGCAAAAGGGAAGGAAGAACATGGAGTGGGAGAAGGGCCATGGTTCTGTCCGTTAGGGTGGTCTGGCTGTGGCTAGAGGGACAGAGGATGAAGAACGAGGGTATGGGATGGGCTAGCTGTTACAAAATGTTTTAAAATTGGCCTTTTAAAATTGTTCCACGAGGAAACAAGCTTGGACAACCTTTCTTGCAAAAATGCCCAATACTGTTCTAATAAGTCCTGAAATAAAGAACTGCGCCTCATTTTGCTTACCTCACTGATTTCTGAATCTATGTGATGGTGGAGACCTCTTTTTGGAATACCACCTGCTGACCCCTGTTGACCACAGTCCCACCTTAGATGAACTTGGTGGAGATCAGAGGCCTAACGTAGCTGCTGGCTTCGTAGGTGGTCAGCAGAGAGCCGTTGACCCCCTGTGGACACTGGCTGGGGCTGAGGGAGGACTTTGCCTTCTGCAACACTTACTGTTCTGGTTCATTCCCGTCGGGCCAATCCACTGGCGCTGCTTCTTCTGGCGGACTGGGTGACAGACAGGAAAGGCACATGAGGCCAGAGGCTGGGCAGGGATCATGGGAGGGAAGGATGGGGAGACTTGTGTGGGGGAAGGTGAGGGAAGGGAGGCAGGAGGCAGCAGGTGCAGCTGAAGGAGAGACTGCTGGACTTTGCCCCCTGAAATCCTTTGGGATCTCAGTTTTCTGACTTGCTCAGGAGGGTGACTGGGCCCATCTAGGGTGAAGGGGCGTGTTGAGGGGGATGTTTCTCCAGGAGAAACAACCACGGGGCTTTAGAACCAGAATTAAGCCTGGGAGGGCAGTAGGGACCTGGCCAACACTGTGCACCTCCCGGTCTTCTCTTGTCGGCCTCTCTAATCTCACTTCCAGTCTCTGCATAATTTTCTTCGGAGCTCTGCAAGGCAAGGATACCAGCCCCCTATATTCACAACGCGCGCCCTCGCCCATCAGGTAGATGAAGAAACTGAGGTTCCGGGAGGAAGCGGCTCAATCAGCAGCCCGCGCAGTCGCTAGGGGGTGGAGCCCGGCCTGGACCCAGACCCAGCCTCGGGGGCGCGGGGCGCGGGGGCGCGGCTGCGTCGCGGCGGGGGCGGGGGGCGGGGGGGGGGGCAGGTGTGCGCCAGTCAGCGCTCACCCTACTCCGGCTTCTCTCTGTTCTCACCCGCAGGAGAGGGGTGAGCCGGGCGGGGAAGCCCAGATGCTCTCCTGCACACCTCCCGCCCCCCGCAGGGGCTGGAAAGTGAGGGGGTTCGGGGCGCCCGCACCTACATTTCTTCACCAGCTTCCTGTAGGCGTGAGGACCGCACACGACCAGCAGGACTGCCAGGAGCACAAGGGCCAGGACGATGCTCATCACGGTGCCTGCGCCCAGGCCTGCCGGGTTTGGGTCCTGGCCTGGGGGAGGCAGAGGTCAGGGGGATCCTGGCTGCGAAGTGGGAACTGTCCGCTCAGAGGGAGGCCGCTGCCCCCCCCCCCGCCCCCCACCCCTTGCTCCTTGCAGTCGTTCACCAGCATGTGCCAGAAGGCAGTTATCTACTGGCCTCTCCACCTGTCTCTCGAACTCTCTGCTACCCATTCATCTGTCTCCTACCTGTCATCCAGCCATCACTGGCCACTCTTGTTATCAGCTATTTCACTTTCTACCCTTTGCCAGTTGCTTATAAGTGATCACCTTGCCATCATATGCTGATAGCCATCCACCCATCCGTCCATCCATTCATCCATCCATTCATCTATTTCCTCTCTTTTATGCGTTATTCAATGACCATTTCTCCCTTGCTTTTCTAGCTTCCATCCTGGAAGACTAGAAGACAGAAGGAAAGCTCCTTAGCCATTATGACCAGTCTCCTCTTCATGGTTCATGCTCATTGTTGTCTGAGCACAATTGCCCCCCCTCCACCCCCCATTTGCCACCTCTCCAACCTTTTCTAGGACTCCAGGGCCCTCTGTCTAGGCCTGGAGCCTGTCCTTCAGAAGCACACTCACTGATGAGGTCCTAGAAGGGAAAATCCAGAACTGCCCTCTGCCCACTGTAGGCTATGGCCAACTCACATGTGACAAATACCCTTCTGCAGTAGGTTTTTCTCTCTTGAAGCTGGTGGCACTGGGACAGCTTCTCCTCAGGGCAGAAGAGCCCATGGGAGGTTTTCTCGGTGGCATCCAGCACCCGGAAGGAGTTGAGTTTGCCGCAGCGCTGCTCCTGGCACACCTCCTCCCACCGCGCCGTGCCCTTTGCCCGAGGGACGTCGCACAGGACTTCCCACTGCTTGCCCTGGCGCACCTCCACAGAGCCTTCACACAAGCCGCTGCCCCCCACCAGGCGGCTCTGCACCTTGGGCTGGAAACCTGGAGAGGGGAAGCAGTGGAGGGCAGGTGACAGGTTTGGGGGAGCTCTAGCCTACCCTGGCCTGGCTACTGGGGCCCCGTGTCGCTAGCCAAGAGGGGGCCTTGGCAGAGCCCAGCTCGTGGGGAGCTGGCGTCGCCTTCCTTTCTGTTCTTCCCTCCTTCTGGCATCTTCTGGCATTTCCCCCATCCAGCTCCTTCCCTGGCATCTCTGGGCAGCTGCTGGTAGCTATCCTGAGATGTGACAGCATGGGTGGTTTCAGGGAAGATGCCGAGAGAGTGGCAATGCTCTCAGCAGCCACTGGAGGGAGTCAGTCCCCGCACAGGTGACAGTGAAAGAAGAGCTGTGAGAAACAGGCTCCACCTGGGTCCTCTAACCTTGGAGAACCATCCCTGGCGAGGCGGGAGGGCTTTTCAGAAAGGAAAAACTGAGGCCTAGTGATAGGAAACAGCTCCTGCTCCGTCCGGGTCCTGGTACTTCAGGGGTGGGACAGAACCCAGGATTCCTGCTGCCCAGCCTCAAGGGGTGGGCTTTCACGAAAGGACTCGGTTTGACAGAGACTGAATCCATTTCTGCTTGCCAGGGTGGGGCCTGGGGTGCACAGCTGAGGCCCACCTGTGCTCAGGTTAGAAGGGGCTATGATCTCACCCATTTGGCCAATTTCCATAGGAACATCCATCTAAAAGGCCTTAGTAAATTTTCTACTTAGAAAAGAATTTCAAAGGCGAGCCCTTTCAGGTCTGATTTTGCACGTTGTAGCCTGCAGGAGGGCAGTGGTGAGTGGGTCTGAGAACCAGACTATCCACCCCGCCATCAGGCCCAGAGAGACCCTGGGTGGGGGAGGCTGGGCCGCTCCTACCTGGAAGAGGCGGTGTTTCACTAATTCATACCTGGCATCCACTGGGCTAGGGGGTAGTTGCGGGGTGCAAAGGGAGTGGGGGTGGTATGCTTGCGGGGTAGCCCAGAGGTCCAGAGCAAGGCTTCCTAGATTTTTGCACACACACCCCTAGGACCTTGCTGAAATGCGCATCTGATTCAGTAGGTCTAGCGTTGGACCACTATATCTGCATTTCTAAGCAGCTCATGTAGTTGGTGTTGCTGGTCTAGGACCACACTTTGGGTAGCCAAGGCTGGGACCACAGACTCTGGGGTGACATGGCTTGAGTAGAAATCGCAGCTAGTGCTCTGTGATATTGGGCAAGAAATGTAACTTCTCTGCGCCTCAGCTTCCTCATCTGTAAAGTGAGGATAATAATAGCGCCCACCTCCTCAGGCTGTTGTGAAGATGAATGGCCCTCCTGGGAAGGTCCCTGTCACCCAGGAAATGCTCGGTAAGTCAGATTTCGTATAGTCTGGACTCCACTAGAACCCTTCTGGTGATGGGAACCCACCCCTTCCCTTACTCTGACCTGCAGTCTCTTCCTCCTCCATTTCCCCAGGGATCCTGGTTTGGGGGTCCCCGAGAGCATCCTCCTTGGTCTTCTCTTCTCAGCCACACCAGATTCACCAGTCTTTTTGTTGTCTTTGTGTAGGAGCCTCCGCAAGCAGCTCTCTGGGGACCTGCTCTGGTCTCCCTCTGCCCGCTGTGCAGGGGGTAGGGTGGGACAACCTCCCACTTGTTACCATTGCTCCAGCCTCCTCTGTCTCTGGGGTTTGCAAACTCCCCTCCTTCAAGGCTGGTCCCCTCCAAGTGCTCCTCCTGCTCTGATCCTTGGCACAAGTCCTAATTCCCACCTAAAGAGCCTTCTCTCCTCTGTTCCCCCAAACCCACAAGGAGACCTTGCCTCATCCTGAAAGTCCTGTTGATCTCCCACCGAGCCACAGCCAAGCTGGCAGTGCATCTGGGCTTGTTCTGTGTTACTTTGCGTGAGTATAGCTTCCCCCCACCCCATCCTGCCCTCTGTTTCCCTCCCATTCTGCTCTGCATGGTGCCCAGGGCCCTGTGCTACCCACAGGGGTTTCCAGGAACAGGTGTTGACTGATCATCTGGGGGCACCTCTTGGGTCCTCACTGAGTCTCACTCACCAGAACAGACAATGGCCAGAGCTTGGCTGCCCTCATAGGGCGATACTTTTCTGAAGCACCGCTCCAGGGAGGCACAGCTCCTGTTCTGGATCTTCCATCGAATTGGCAAGGGCTTGCTCTCCCCTGGATCTTGTGTCCTGGCTGTCTCAGCCTCTGGCAGAAGCTTTAGGAAAGAACCACACTGCAGGGCGGCACAGATGCGGTTCTCCAGGTCCTGGGTCCTGTCCTGGGTCCTGTCCTGTGCCTCATAGCTGATGGCACCACCCAGGCTGCCGTAGTAGAGCTCCACTACACCAGCACACTGCAGGCCCCCAGGCCTGGTCACCAGCTGCAGCCTGGGAGGAGCTGTGGAGGGAGAAAGAGGGGAGCGGGTCTGAGTACTGCCAGGCTGGCAGTGGGGTCCTCCTTGCTCCAGGCTCTCTGGTTCCAACACACAGACAAATGAAAGACTGGCCAACAGCTGTGGGGGGTGGGGAGCTCCCAAATATTGCATAGGGCATACTTCCGCTAAACCTTTTCATGTTTACCTGAAGTTCAAATGCAACTGGGCATCCTGTGTTTTTATTTGCTAGACCTAGCACCCTGCCCCCAGGGACCTCAGAATCCTCTTACCTGTGGGCTCTGGAGTGGTTGTGGGTGGGGGGCTCGTGGGAGGAGGTGTTGTCTTCGGTGGCTCTGCAATGAGATACTCTGGTGAGGGAGGGGCAGGAGCCCTGGGCGGGGGGCTGGAGATGGGGGGCGGGGGGGGGGGAAGAATGCAGGTTGGGGGAGGGCTGTCCAAACCCGAGGGTTTGGAGAAAGACCTGGAACTTATGATTTAAGTGCCACTTGTCCTACACACTGTCTCTAAATCTGCAGGGTGGGCAGTACCAGCCCATTTTACTGTCGGTAAAACGAAGGTTAAGAGGAGCCAGTAATGTTAGCAATTGGCAGAACCAGGTTTTTGGCCTCTTGATCCCACCAGACAGGTGCCAACACCCCCCACCCCAGTTCCCCACCAAGGTATTTTTTGGGGGGGTTGTTATAAATCAGGAATGCCCCTCTACCTGCCTGCTGCAGCCTCAGATCCCAGGCCCCAGGCAGCCTCACCGGGGCTGCTGGTTACTCACCCTGGCAGATCAGGCCCAGGGGCTTGCTCTGGCTTGCCACACTGGTGTTGCAGTTGGAAAAGGACCCCACATGTCCATGGCAGGTGATCGGTTTCTGGGGACTGTTGAAAGCAGGAAAGTAGGCCATGGCCAAGGCCTCCCCACAGTCCAGCCTCCGGCAGAGCTTCAAGGCCAGCCTAAGTTCCTCCCAGGGGTTTGGGCTCTGGCTCCAGCTCCAACTCTGGCTGGACACTGTGTACCAACTTTTCCCGATGCAGACCTCCAGCTGGCCCTGGCACCGTGAGCTGGAGCCTTTCAGTCTCACCTGGAACTCTGGGGGTCAAAGAGGTGTGTGTGTGGGTGGGGAGAGTCCTCTTCTTTCCCAGTCAGGTTCACCCTCAGCCAGGCCACCTTCTGCCCCATGGGCTGCCTTCCTGGCTCCTGTGAGCTTTGTGCTCCCTGACACTTGGGGTCCCCCAAAATCAGGCCCCAGAGGGTGGGGCTTGAGACCTCAGAGCCCAGGGGAACTCAGAGCAGCAGGCAAGGGGTGCTCAGCACCTACTGTCCAGCAGGATTGCTCCACTCATGCAGATTCTGCTTCCATAGAAATAGGTCCTGTCACCTGTTTTTATTTTTCTTTCTGACTTTTCAAATCAATTTTGTTGAGGTAGGATTTAGACACAGAAACATTACTCATGTGTACTCATTGCAAGAGCCCTTGTTCAGTGGAACTTGACAAAGGCATGCCTTTCTGGAACCACCATCCCCTGGAAAGTTCACTTATGCCCATGTGCAGTCAGTTTCCCTGAATCCAGCCTCGGGTAGATTCCCTGAATCCAGTCTCATCTGCTTCTGTTGCTAGAGAGAAGTTTTGCCTCCTCTCTAATGTTATGTACCTGGAATCATACAGCGTGTTTTTTTGTTTCTGGTGTTCTGTTTTTCTCGTCAGACTCCCTCGCCTTGGCATTTGGGGTTTCTCTGCATCATTGCATGTACCAGCTTCCTTTTTGTTGTGGAATGTCTCACTGTGTGGCTACGCCACCATTTGGTTGCTGTGAACAAAGCTGTGTGGAACATTCACAAACTGATGTTTGTCTGTGTGGGCACGTGTTCCATTTCTCTCAGGAAAATACTGAGGAGTGGAATTGTTGGATCATAGGTAGGAATAGGACTGGTATGATTTTATAAAGCTCCGTGAAGTCAAAAAGAAGGATATATATTTGTATCTGCAGAGATTCCAGAAGGAGAGACAAGACAGGAATATATGTGGTTGTTACCTGGGGTGTTAGGATGCAGAAAGCACTGGGCAGATGAGAGACAGAAATGGAAATGAGATTCACCATTGTAGGGTTTTTTTATATTTTTAAAATTTTAAGCCAGGCAACTGTATTACCTATTCAAGATTTTTATTTTATTTTTTATTTTATTTATTTATTTATTTTACGTGTAAAAAGCTTTGCCAAGTGATTGGGAGGTAGAGGTTTTCCCTGGTTGGAAACTTCTAGGCAGGCTACTTTTTCTTCTGGGCTTGGGGATCAGAGCCCAGGGCTAGGGCTTGGCAAGGTCACTATACTAGTTTGAGACAAAGAGGGGTTGTTGGGGCACCACTGGGTGGCTCAGTGGTTGAGCATTTGCCTTCAGCTCAGGTTGTGATCCTGGATCCTGGGATCGAGTCCTGCACTGGGCTCCCTGCATGGAGCCTGCCTCTCCCTCTGCCTGTGTCTCTGCCTCTTTCTATGTCTCTCACAAATACATAAATAAAATCTTTAAATTGAAAAAAAAAAAAAAAGGGCTTGTCCAGCACCTGACATTGGCAGAATGTTCTGCAGCTTTCCCTCCGGTGAGCAGACTCACTGAATCCTCACCAAAGAACAGATGGTCTCCCCATTTTATAGGTGGAGAAATTGGGACTCAGAGAGGACAAGTCACTTACTAGAGCTCAGAGCTAAGATGCCACTGCAGGGTTCCAGATTCTGGACAGGGCCCGCCAAGGCCCCTGTGGCTCCTTCTGGCTGCATGCTTCATAAGACTGTCTAGCCACATTTCTCCCAAAAAACATTCAGCATGATGTGATCTCAGGAAATGTGAAAGAGTGAAGTCTGGGGTGAAATGAGTCTGGGAACTGCTGTATTAAGAAATATCAAACACATTTCTCCACTGCAGGACTTCTCAGAGACTTTCCTAGGCTGGTACACACAATCAGTCTCCAGTGAGTGATGGTGTTGTCTACCTCTTATCCAACATGTCCCATAAGCCCTGTTTGGGAAACACTAGCCTGTTAAAGTCCAACTGTGAAGGAAGGACATGCAGCATACTTTACAACCTCATGCAGTCTCTCTCTGTAGCCTCAGCTGCAAATGCGTTTGACCAGGAAGATCTGGCAGGGACTAAGTAGGAAACAGGATTTTGCAGGGAGCATTTATGGGCCATTATGTTTTCTGTTCATGGTGAGTGGGTCATAATAATAATTATCATGATAATGAGCATGCGGGTGGTGCTTTATGGCCATCCAGGGCATCTGCCAGTGCACAGGCATCTAAATGTGTATACGAGTATGTGGATGTGCGGGTCTGCATGTGTTGGGGCTCTCTCTCTCTCTCTCTCTCTCTCTCTCTGGGGTGGAGTTCACTCTGGCAGATCCCCCTACAGCCTGATGGAATCACAGCCCTGTCCCCTCACCACCCTCTGCTCCAGACCTCTGTCTGTCTCTTCCTTACCTGAGTCCTCCCAGTGGGGCCCCCCGAGGCAGGAAGTGACTGTAGAAAAGAGAAAAGAGGGTCAGGAAGTGGAGCCTCCCTTTTACTCCCCATCCCGCCTCATACCCACCCACAGCCTGAGCAGTGGCCTCTTCTGCATCCCCCCAAATGTGGGGCTCGGGTAGGGAATGTCACACTACACATCAGAACCCCCAGGTGGGTCACGAAACCAGTTTAATGGGCTGCAACTATCAATTTTTCCCCTGTTTTAAAACTTTACTTTTTAAATGAGCATCAGTAACATGAATTTTCCTCTAGTGCACAGATCTATGAATGTTACACATACAGAGATCTGTGTGATCACCATCATAGTCAAGGTGACATTTCCATCACCGCCCACCTCAACATTTCCTCGTGCTCTCCCTTTGCAGTGATATATAGCTTTGCAGCCACTGATTTTTAAAAATTATGTGGTAATGCAACCATCACATTTTTTTTTTTTTTTTGCAAAATGAAATGGCTCAGAATAGAGAATGTCAGAATACACGGTTGGTTATGAGGTTTTGTGCATTTGGCTGCAGTGTAAAACTGTTGCGAGCACTGCTTTCAATCTGAAAAAGTTTGAGCCTCACAGTTGTAGAGAACCAGAGAAATGACCCAGCATGAGAACCCCAGACATCATTTGCTACTTTCTAGTTATCCCCAAGGCAGGATAAGAATGAGAACAATTCATCTTAAATAGCTCAGCTTCTAGAGGAGAAGTCAAAGCTCAGAGATGGAGGGGCTGGCCCAAGACAGTGCAGCCAGGTGGCACAAAGGAGTCAAGACCACAGCCCCGGTTAATGGTGGGTCTGGGGACCTGGCCTCCCCTCTAGCATGGCTCCTGCCCAGGCCCGTTCAATAGCCATGGGGGCCCTTTGAGAAGGCCGGCCTCCTCCCAGCCCTGACTGACTCCAGAGTGGGAGGTAAGCTGGCTCACTGAAGGGATTGTCACAGAGCAGCCTGTGGCTGGCTCATCTGTGGCTGGGGGAGGACGCTTGATTTGGGTGGGCCTGGGCCAGAGTGGCATGCTCGTGTGGCTTCAGAGCCCCGTCCCATGTTTGCGGCTCAGCTTTGCCAGCCATGAAGTAGATGTTCTGATTTCCACCTTATGACTCCTGGGCTTGCTTCTCAATTGGGAGCCAGGACAGTCAGGGTGACTACTTTAGAGGGGAAATGACTCCATTTAAGTTGCTTTTGAGAAATTGTTGCTGTGTGTTAAAAAAAAAAAAAAAGAAGAAAATGAAAATAGGTGTGCTTTAAAAAGCTTATTTTTGCCTGAGTGTTTTGGAGCTGGTAGTAGAATTTTAAAGGAAGACGTGCCCCTGCCAGCCAGCCCGCCCCCCACAATCAAGACTCCCTGTAATAATGCTGGCACCATACTGTGATGTTCTGGCATTGGTGCTCAGGGCTGGTGGTACTGTTGTGTTACTGGCTGGGCCTGGGGCAGGCCTGGGGAGGATGGCAGGCCCACTGGGGAGCTTTGCCAGCCTGAGATGCTTGGAGAGCCAGGTAAGAGGGCCCACTCAAGACCTTCATATCCCCCCAAGTCACCATAGTCAAAATTCATTATTAATAGCAGCTATCAGTTACTGAGTACCTACTGTGTACTCAGCACTCAGGGTGGCTCCTGATAGATTCCATTGTTAACCTTCCACACAGCTCCATGGTGTGAGTTGCATATATTCATGGTGTAGATGTTGGGAGAAGGAGAATGCCCTGTGCAGGGGGACACTGCCAGCAACTGGCAAGGCCTGGATTCAAACTGTGAGTCTGCCTTCCAAACCTGTGCTCTCTGCTGCCTGCTTGTGTCTCCAGAGTGCCAAGTTTGGGGATGCAGAGATGAACACGGCCTAGAACCTGTCCCCCTGGTTTTTGAGTCTCCAGACATTGGAGCCCCTGGAGGCAGGGACCAGACCAGACCATTCTTGTAGATCTCACATAGGATGGCCCAGGCCCTCCTCAGAGAATGTTTCTGGGAAAGACTGAACAAGCTGGAGAACCAAGTAAAATTCCCAAAATGCCCTGTTGAGGAAGGGCATCTAGGTATCCCCACACTTTGCCTCCCTCTGGGTGCCTGATGTCCTCAGTGGAGCAGCATTTCCTGGCTCATCCCTCCTTCACCATCACCATCACTGTCACCATCACCACCATCACTATCACCACCATCATCACCACTACCACTATCATCATGATCACTATTACTATCAACAACACCATCACCGGCACCACCATCACCGTGACTACCATCATTGTCACCATCGGTACCACCACTATCATCACCACCACTACCATCACCATCATCACCATCACCATTACTACCATCATTACCTCCATCAGCCTAACCATCGCCACCATCATGATCAAAATTACCGTCAACAACAATACCACCATCAGCATTACTATCAGCCTCACCACACCATCACCATCAGCCTTACCATCCCCATCATCACCACCGGCAACACTTTAATTTTTTTTAATTTTTATTTTTTTATAAGACAGAGCTCAGGCTCTGCCTTTTTTTTTTTAAGATTTTATTTATTCACTCATGAGAGACACAGAGAGATAAAGAGAGGCAGAGACACAGTCAGAGGGAGAAGCAGACTCCACGCAGGGAGCCTGATGCGGAACTCAATCCCGGGACTCCAGGATCATGCCCTGGGCCGAAGGCAGGTGCTAAACCGCTGAGCCACCCAGGGATCCCCCCGGCAACACTTTAAGAGTTCACATTTACCCAGGCATTTGTATATGTTAACTCTCTCAAACTTCATTGCTCTATGAAGTAGGCACTATTGGTTTTTTTTTTTTAATTATTTATTTTAGAGAGACAGAGACAGAGGAGGAGAGAGTGTGTGCGAACAAGGGGAAGGGCAGAGGGAGAGGGAGAGGGAGAGAGAATCCTCAAGCAGACTCCCCACTGAGCACGGAGCTTGATGCAGGGCTTGATCTCACCACCCTGAGATCATGACCTGAGCAGAAACCAAGAGTTGGATCCTTAACCGTTAGAGCCACCCAAGTGCGCCAGTAGGCACTATTATTTTGATCTCCATTTTATAGATGAAGAAGTGGAGAAAGATGAACTAACATGCTGAGCAGCAGGTTGCTGCTGGGGCTGGGACTCAAAGCCAAGCCATCTGTCACACCTCCTTTTGCCAGTTTACTGCACGTTCATGGTGTGCAGATGTGATGAACAGGAATGAACTTGGAATTTCCTTCAGTTAGTGAAACACGCTGTGGGGAGACTTTTCCACGAACTTGCTCTATGATCCTGGCAAGTCACTCGCCCTCTCTGGATGTGGTTTCCTCAACTGTAAAATGAGAAAGTTAGACCCTGCGATCCCTCACCTTCCTCTTGGGCCAGCCTTCTCTGCTCTGTACTCTTTAGTTCCTGCTGTATCTCAGAGGCTGTCAAGGGCCAGGGACCAGTGGACAGTGAGACGTGTGACTGCCTCAGAGCCTTCTAGGTGCTTCGTTCTGTCTGTCCAGAGATGTGTTTAGGTTGTCATCGTCCACGACATATTTTCATTCTTTGAGCTTCTCCTCACAGGGGTCTGACCAAGAGCCTCCTTCCCTGGAACCCTGCAGATAACACTTAGGTTCTCTCTGAGACCCTCCGGGGCTGCAGCTCAGCCTAGCGGATTGCAGAATCTGCAACCAGAGGCCTAGAGACCCTAGGGGACCATGAAGCATTGTGTCCTTTGCTAACCTGCCATCCACAATTGCAGCCTAGCAGCTGGGGCCAGGAACGAGAATCCTCCAAAGGCTCCTCTTTCCCCTGCCCCCTCCCCTCGGAGACCCATGATTTGGGGCTTGGAGCAGCTGAGCCCAGAAGGAGTTCAGGGCCGAGAAAGCCCGAGAATGTGAGAAGGCATCTTCACTCTCCTGGCCTCTCTCTTCATCTCCCCATTTACAGAAATTTAGTCATTTTGACCCTACCTGTACTGGTGGGATCTCTGTGAGAATTCCGTGCATTCCAGAAGGCACCCAGAGATTTTCACACCCTTGTCCCTACCTGCCTGGTCCTCTTGCATCCCCAACATTCCCAGTGATTCTCGCTTTGGTTCTCTGTGTGATACCGCTGGCTGCATCAGGCCATGGATGGGTTTTATTGGCTCTGCATGCTGCTTAAAATTTTTTTCAGTCAACTTTTAAAAATTAGGTTTCTTTCTGTTTTGTTTGGCTTAAAAAAAAAATCCCAAGAGTGAAATGTTTTTGGAAAATAGGATCCTCGGGCCTCATCAGGCTACCTCCCCAAGAGCTCCATGCAGCAACCTGTGGGATCTGGTTTGCCAGCACCCCTGAGGCCCCTTACTGTCACCTTGTGTCTGGGGAGCTCCAGCTTCCATCTCATGATGGTTTCTGCCGAGAGACATGAATTTTCATGCCATATGGGATGTGCAGGATTATAAATAGCATCCCATTCATTCAGGTCAGGATCGGCACCAAAGGCACTTTCCAGAGATCTGCAGACGTTGTTTGGGTTTTGGAATTGCTGGAGAACGTTTATGGATTCATGTTGGTGGTTCTACTTTGCAGTACTCGGCAGAGCCAGGACTTGGCCCAGGCTGGCCAGCCTCTGGCTCACTCTGACACTCCTGGGGCCCGTGAACATCTGCCTTTGCAACCATCATGTACTGGGAAGTGGAGACAAGGCAGCAGGGTCCCAGGGAGGAGCTGGGACATGTCTGATAGGAGCAGTGAGAGTGAACATTTGTGGTGCTCCTACCTCATGCAGACCCCAGGGCAAGCTCTCGGCATGGGGGACCTGGCCCCCATCCTCCCAATAGCCCTGCTGCAAGGGGCTGCTGTCACCCTGTTTCCCAGATCAGGAAATGGATGGACTTAGTGAGGTTTGGAAGTCAGATAGATGTTCCAGCTTTTCCATAAACCACAAGTCCCTCTAATAGTCTGCAAACATCTCATCAATTCACAGCAAACACCACAGGTCGGACTGCCTTTTGGGGGGGCGTTTTGGATTTTTCTTCCTTTCATCCTCTGATGAGAGGCTGATTAGAAGGTCAGAAACCCCCTTTTCCTGAAACGGAGCTGTGTCTAACCTGAGTCTGTATCAAGGCTTTAGGAAAACAAAGATGGCAGAGGCCCCCAATTCTGTTTCTTGGTGGAATACTAGATGAGGAGATTGGTTTCTGATCAGGAGTCTTTTTGTGTGCAAAACATGCAGAGTCACTGAGTTTATGCCAGGAAAAGCCTGGGGACTGGCACCCACAGAAGGAACAGCAGATTCAGACCTCTAATCCTTCTCACGGGCCCTGCACTGACCTGTTGATATGAACAGATCCCAGGCAGGTCAGCTGTCACAGTCTAAATTGTCATCACTCTCTCACTGGTGGCCTGCTATGTCCAACTGAATTTGCACGTATTTAATGCCACATATGCATCTCCACTGTGACAGTGATAAGACCTTCATTTTGTTCGGAGCTTCCTATATCCCAAAGTTGTTTCCACCCACAGCACCCTAAGGAAGTGCCCATGCTTATTCTCCTTTTCAGATCAACAAACTGAGGTTCAGAGAGGCTGAGCAACTTGCCCAAGGTCACACAGTTTGCTGATGGTAGAGTCAGGACAAGAAACCCCATCTCCATGACTTGACAGGGTCCTGTGGGAATCTACCACTGGGAGAACCTGGAGCCTGCTCATCCCAGGGTACAGATAGGGGAAACTGAGGCCAAGGAAGGAAGGGCTCACTCTGGATGTCTCCATGGGAATCTGTGGTGGCACAGGACCCTTTGCACTTCTGCCAGCCACCACTGATTTTCTATCCTGTCCCTACCACATATGTCTCAATGGTGTCCCAGGGGAGAGGGGCGTTTCAGGGGCCTGTGAGAACCAGACATGGTGATGATGATGATGATGATGATGATGGTAGTGTCTATGGAGGAAGTGACCTGGGGCCATAATCCCTCATCTGCAACTTAATACCCTAAACCATAAGTCTTTTCTAGTACACTTGGCAGGAGGGTATTTGCAGCCTTTAATGAGTCTCTCTTAGTGTGTGAATTCATGTTTCATTGAATGGGAATGTGTTTGATTAGGGGGTGTTACCAAGACCTCACTGGCGCATGATGAACACATAGTACATACAGAGTATGACCCCCAATCTGGAAAATTCTGAATTCCCAAATGCATCTGGCCCAAGGGTCAGGATAAGGGTGTATGAACCTGAAAAGGTGTTGGGACCATTCCTTTCAGGGGTACTCATCACTCTTACTCCTCTACTCTGCCCTCTGCCTGGATCATCCTGCCCAGGCCCACACAGTACTCTCACTCACTTCCTACAAGAATTTTTGCCCAAATATTATCTTCTCCCTCCCTGGATAAGCACAGCCCCCACCCAACCCCACCCCACCCATGACCTCCCAGCATCCATGCCATCACTGTATGTCTCCCCATAACACCCCAACTCCCATATTGGATCCACCAAGGACACGGATTTTGATGGTTCAGCTGTGTCCCCAGCACTTAGAATAGTGGCCAGTACATAGTAGGTGCTCAATAAATACTTACTGTCTGAATGAGTGAATGAATCAGATTTAACAATTGCATTGTCCTGTAAGGTGGGCACGGTGGTCATCCCATTTTATAGATGAGAAGGCTGAGATTCTGAGAAGTGTTCTTGTCATTTGTGAGTGGCTCAACAGAACTCAAATCCCAATCTGTGCAACTCCAAAGTCCCACAGGCCTTCACACACAAGTGCACACACACAACACATACACACATGAGTACACACACAGCATGCACACGTGCTCACACATGCACCCACACTCATCCACACACATGTGCATATATGGAATAGGCGTATGCATTTTATCAATTTTCTCAGGTAGAGTTGAAATCCCTCCTTGGTCTTGAGCTGGGCAGAGTGACCAGAGGGGCCAGTACCAATCCCTGAGCCACCAGGTCCCTCTATTCCCCACTGAGGGTGGGGAGCCTGGGCCACTGGGACCTTGCTGGAATAGTGGGCCAGGCAGCCTGCTCGAAGCTCGAGCCCATGTTCCCTTGCCTCCTGTGGATGCCTAGCCCCTCTCGGGCCTGTCCTGCCTGTTGTGTGTACGCTTGCAAACCCCTATGGACCACGTCCCTCTTTTACCTGCCTGGCTGGCTCTTTCCTGCATCTGTGTCTTAGAAGAGATGTTACTTCCTCCGAGAGGCCCTCCCTGCCTACCCAGCCCCTGGCCTGGGCATGCTCCTCAGGGAAGTTGGCCACTGAGTCCCACCTGCTCTTGTGTTCTTCACTGCACTTACCACAATACTTAGGAATTTGTAACTATTTCGGGTGCTTCCTCCATTAGGGTAAGGATTCCCGTCTTGTTTACTATGATCCCAGATGCTTTACAAGCATTGGACATATAACAGATGCTCCATAAATATTTGTAGTTGGATAAATGAAGGTGTGAATGACCCGTGTAAGAGGGCTGGGGAGAGGAGATTCGATGGCCAGGCTGGTGTCTGGCAAGACTCTCTACTGGGTCCGACCTCACTTTGTTCCCTCCGGACTCTGACCTTGGTGATGATGAGAGTAATAATTACTATGACCATCAGTGCTGACTGAGCACCTACTATATACTCTAAACCAGCATTCCTACTAAAAGCTCTACATTCATTAATTCATTTAATCTTTACAAATCTCTGTGACACATATACTCTCAGTGACTTTGTCCTGCCCCAATGCTGGCTTCTGCAGTCCTGGTGGCCAGGCCTGACCCTCAGGGCTGTCTTCACACACCATTGATCCAAGCAGGTGAGCCTCAGGCAGGCTGGGGTTGAGGGCAGCAACAGAGGGGACCAGCTGTCATACCACCCAGGCATGTCGTGGGCATCTGTGTGCCCCAAAGGTCCCTAAGTCACAATCTGGATGGCCAGCCAGGAGTCCCCAGCCCTCAGCAACCCTGCCCTTGGTGGGGACATGTCTGCAGGAGGTAGTCGTGATCTGCAGCCATTTCTCTATTTGTGGGAGTGGCTTTGGTGTGTCTGTATTTTTAGGGTACAGGGGGCCTCCATGAGAGCAGGAGTGCCGGGCTGGAGTTGGCCCTGCTGCTCACTAGCTGCTGTGCCCTGGGCTTTGCTTCTTGGCTCTTCTGGAACTCAGTTTCCCTGACTATAAAATGGGGGCAATGGGCCCACCAACCTCATGAGCTGTTGTGAAGCTTACAGAAGAAAGTAGCTTTTAAAGGTACTTTGTAAGCTGTGATCCATCGAACAGTGAGAATATTTACTATCCACCAGTTCACACAAACACCGGAAAGCATGAGCTCCTGGGTTTCCAGATGGTTCTCAAACCCCCCGGGGAAGGTGCTGCCTTCCAGTCTCCCTGACTCTGGGCTCTGCTGGGATAGGGCAGCTGCTGGATCTGGCCAGGAAACTGGTCATGATGGGCTTCATTTGGGAGCCCCAGAGAACAGGACTCCATTCCCGTTCTTGGCGGGGAGCCTGGCAGCCTCCCTGCCCTGGTGGGGTCAGCGGCCACAGGTCACAGCTCCTTGGGAGGATCCTATCTCTAGGCCTCTGCCCTGGGGACAGAAGGTATTCGGTTCTCTCGTGGGTCCATGTGAGAAGAGCTATGTGAACATGTGTGCACCTGTGCCATCATCACATACATGGACGGAAGGTAAACCTACATTTGGAGACATGTCTGGCCCATGAAAACACACACAAATATTTAAATACACACGTTCACATCTGCTCACACTACACACCAGCCTCTGGTGGGACTGAGGGACTGAGGCTCCCTGAACAGGCAGGCAGGTCATAGCCCCTGGGTCCTTTCCCTGAAAATTGGGAAGCCGTAACACTTCCTTATCCCCCGGTCAGGCATCTCTCTTGCCCACAGTGCCCTCCAAGCCCTTGAGAGGTGGTCAGACCTCATCCAGTTCACCTCTGCATTTCATAAATGGGGAGACCCCCAGCTTCTACCAACTCCCCTCCGGGGTACAGGAGGCCCCAGGCTCAGCCACCGCTGGCCTTACCCCGGCCAACTTCTCAGAGGCCCGGGTGCTCCTACACAGCCCCAGGGTGCACTCCACCCTGGCTGGCCAGCCTCCTGGGGCTCCTCTGGGACAGAGCTGGAGAATGTGGACTCAGGGTGTGTCTCCGATTCATGCTCAGCTGTGTTCTCAGAGGCAGCCCTCTGTGCCTTGGCCCTGTGTGCTCAGAGCATCATAGAACTGCCCAGGAGACAGTGAGCTACATATGCCTGGGCGCATCTAGGTAAAGGCCAGACGCTCCAAGTGCCGTTGTGGGTGGGGGCACGGCAGAGGAAGCTTGCACTAGAGGGGGGCTGGATGACTTGGTTTCTAGGCTGAGAGTCTGATTTAGCATGGGTCCCACCTGGAAGGGTGCAGGAAGACCTCTGTAGTACAAGAAAGAAGCAGAGCTGGGGGGGTGGTAAAGGGATGGAAGGGACCAGTGGAGTGGCCCCGACCCTTCCTGATGCTCCAGAGAGGTCACATATAGGCCTGTGTCAGACTGGGGAGAGAACCGGCATCTCTTCCCTTGCATCCCAAGTCCCAGTAGCCCAGTACTCACCCAGCACCCCCAGCAGGCACAGGGCGGCCAGCGGTGGTTGCTGAAACCCCATGGACGCAGCCTCCTTCTGCCTCAGCCTTGGCAAGCTCGGCATCCCGTGGGTGAGAGGAGTCTGGTCCTGAGTTTCCCTCTCGGGGAGGAGGGGGTGGGGCGGGCAGGCGAGGGCAGGGTATGACAGGGAAGCAGGCGGTGTAGGGCCTGCGTCACCTGTGTTTGAAGTCGAACTGTCAACTTCCTCCTGGTAAAACCATCTGCCCCAGTTTGAATGGCAGCCCTGGCTTCCTGGGCCGGGGCAGTACCCCTACCACCACCTGACGCCAGGACAGGCCACAGCTGCTGGGAGGGAGAAGGCCTGGCCCCATGAGGGTGGGCCTGAGGGGTCTAGGGGGTCGGGGACAAGGCCATCAGGCAGGGGGACCTGCCGAAATGGCACCCACCGAGCTGTGCTAGGAGGTGAGAGCCGGAGGTGAGGGGTGCCACACCAGTTCTTGCCACAGGCATAGTGTTGAAAAATCAGATGAAACCCCGTGTCTCCCCTTCATGGGGGTGAATTGGGATTTTACCAACAAGCACAGACAAGGGCTCCTCTGTGAATGCTTGGCTCATGTCAGGGTGTGTGTGAGTGTGAGTGTGAGTCATTTCTGTGTTGATAATGTGATCCCCATGTCAGTATGAGTGATTTCTATGTTGGTGTGTGTGATCTCCACGTCGGCATGTGTGTATGATTTCCACGTTGGAATGTGTGATTTCCTTGTCTGTATGTGTGGTCTTGGTACAGCATTGCTCTGACAATAGCTTCAACCTCTGACCTGTTGAGGAAAAGGCCTGGTGGCTGGGTTTCTGTGAATTAGCAGGGGGAGACCTAGCCCAGGAGAGGGGCTGTATCCCTAGGCCTGGGCCAGGCATAGCCCCTCTGCACTCCAGGACAGCGCAGACCTAGAACCAGGCTCCTTGGGGCTTCTCATGATCTGAGCTGCACCAGGAGGCATGAAATGATTCAGAGGCACATAGTTGGCTGTGAACAAGTGTGAAGCGTGGAGTGGGTGTGAAAGCCTCCCAGCCACACCCTTCCCACCCACTTCAGCAGCTCTAGCTCCTGGGCCCCTCCTTCCCTGGCGTCCTGTCTCCCCTGGAGGAGTTTCTGGTTCTTGCATCTGCTCACTAGAGGCAAGAATTGAGGCCAGATCAAAGACTGCGGACCCCCATGACAGCTGTAACTGGGACCCGCTGACCGCCTCAAACAGGATTCTCAGGGCCTCTTCCCCTCCTCAAGAGCTGACGCTGCTTTAGATCAGCCAGCCCTCTAGGCCCTGCCCCCTGCCCTCACATCCATGTCTCCTGTCCTGAGACTCTGGAAATCCCAGACTTTTCTCTTCCTTTTTTTTAAAGAGAGAGAGCGAGCAAACATGCATGCAAGAATGGGGTGGGGAGGAACAGAAGGAGGCAGAGGGAGCTAGAGCATCTCAAACAGGCTCCACACTCAGCACGGAACCCGATACAGGGCTCAATCCCACAACCCTGAGATCATGACCGAAATCAAGAGTCAGACACTTAATCAACTGAGCCACCCACGCCCTAAAATCCCAGTCTTTTTATCCATTAATTAGTTCATTCATTCAACAAAATTTCACCCGAGGCTAACCATAGGGATGCAGAGATGGGCCAGTGCTCTGCTTACATGCTGAGGACTCCCCTGGATAATTTTTCTCTCAAAGACTCAGTGTTTCAAAAGCGTTTATTGGTCACACTAGCCCCATATAGCAAGTGGTCCTTCACACAGGCCTGGTGACACTTGGTTTACATAACTGCACGGTGAAAGGGAGAGGGATTCCTCTGAATGCCTAAGTGAGCCTGGGGTGTGGCCTCTTTTATTTTTTCCCAGCCATCATGGGAAGTGGGCACTGTTCTATTTCACAGATGAGGGGACTGAAGCTCAGAAAGCAAAGTCCTTGGCTTCTGGAAGCCAAGACTAAGATTTGAAGCCATGTTTCTCCCTCTTCAAACCCCTGCCACTCCCCCCCTGCCCTCATGGACCAAAAGAAAAGAAAACAAGCAGAAAATTTGGCTTCTTATGTGATCCCGGGTCTTATCACAGGCAAGGGTGGAGTTTCTTATCCTTTTTGTTCTTTTTTGGAAAATAGAAGGCAGTTTAGGGCCTTGGGGCTTGGTCTCTGCCCCATCCCAGTGGAGGGAGCCTCCACCCAGGCCTTCCTCCCTCCCCCAGGCCTAGTGGGCTCCCTCCCAGGCCTTGGGCCTCATCCTGCCTTCCCTCTGGGTGCCTATCCTGCCTCCAGGCTTGCTGTCCCCCACTCAGACCCCAGATCCCAGGCGGGAGCTTCCTGTTCTCATCACCACACTTTCCATGACACAAGAGGAAGTCAGCTGAGCTGGGGCCGGGTTTTCCAAGCAGCTCAGCCAGTGTGGGGCCAAAGGTTTGGGGCAGGGAGGGGGTTAGCAGCCCCCAGGGCCCGGGTGTCAGTACATCCCAGGCCTCTGCCAGAGAGACACCTGCCTGTGCTGCCCTGGGCCCACACCAGGTAACCCCGGGGGTGTGCATGCATCCTTCAGCTGGTCAATCAGGCTCTCTGGGCTCTGTGACTCTCCAGCACCCCCAGAATTTGCCCGGTTGCCAGTGCAAAGGGGCCACGGTGCGGGTAGATGGGGATGGGAAGGCAGAGGAGCTGAGCACTAGGAGGCAGGTAGGAGGGACAGGAGAAGAGAAAGGGGGCCCAGAAATGTGACCAGTGCCCAGTAGGACCTCAGTGTTTATTGAATGAATGAATGAATCTATGGGATGGTTGCCAAAGACCTCAGGATGGCCTGGTGGCCGGAGGAGATCTCACCTCTGCTCTGTGAAGGGTGGGAAAAGCTCTGCAAGTTTGTAAAATGACCTGAATGCTTGAAAACCTAAACTTGGCAGCTTGGGGTGGGGGTGGGGCACCCCAAGGGGAGCAGGCTTTTCAGGAGCACCCCCTCCAAATCAGGAAGTGCACCTTTTCCCTCAGCTTTGCTCCCTGTCAATCAAATCACTGGTGGAGGGGGGATAATAGGGGGAGGAGAGGAAAGTGGGACCTGATGAGATCAGATTCTGGTTCTGGAGGGACAGCTGGGGGGTATGCAAGTATGGGGAGGGGCTCTGGCCCAGGCTGGCACCTGCAGGCAAGTCCCAGCTCTGCCCCAGATTGCCAGGTGGATGCTCAGGGCCTCAGGTGACTTGTCTGTAAAAGACGGGGCTGGATGATCCTGAGGCCAGTTCTCTGTTCTGAGACCTAAAGGGTTCGACTCTTTCTCTTGTGTGAGAAGGTATTGAGTGTCTTCTACTGTATTTGTTTAACAAGAGGCACACCCAAACCCATAGACAAGCACTTTCAGGATCAGGGTGTTTCTACTCTGCTAGTGGGCACTCTGAGTACCTCCTGACAGTCAGTGAAGGAGGGGCCCAGGCACACCCCAGAGGGCGAATGCCAAATAATATTGGCACTTTTTTGACAATTTACTGGGTGTCCAGAGCTCTCTTATGATGACTTCTGTGTGCCCAATAATCTGGGCCCATCGGTGGGAGGTTTGGAGGAGCTGGCTGTGTTGTAGAGATGAGGACAATGAAGCTCTGGGGGATGGGGGGTCAGGCCCAGGTGGGGTCAGCCTTGGCCTGCAGGAAGAGACAGGTCAACACAGGCTTCTGGAGGGGGCCTGACTCTGGCCTGGGATGGAGGGTGAGAAGGTACAGCCCAGTGTCCTCCATCCAGTCTGTACCCATATGGACCCCTTACCTGGGTGTGCATCCCAGCAGATCCCAAAACTTCAGAATGGGTTCCATGTTCTGAGTGCTTTAAGCTCTGCTGAGTGCAGGGCCATGTTGAGTTGGCCCCATGAGAGGGTCTGGAGGAAAGTATTTACTGATTCTGTGTGTAGTGATGGTGATGATGGTGAGGGTGTTGGTGATGTTGGTGATGATTGTGATGATGGTGGTGATGATGTTTACCACTTACTAAGGGCCTGCACAATGCTAGGAGCTGAGTAACCCATTATTTTGGTTCTTCCCAGTGTGAGTATGCAACCATCACTGATATGGAGGATTATTTGAGGTGGCTCATAGATGACCACTTTCATCTTAATAGTTATATGTTTAACATAAAATAGATAATTTAAAGAAAGTAGATAATATGCATACCAGATCCATGACTTACTTATGAGAGTAATATAAAATTTCATTTTTAGGTTATTTAGCAAACATTGCTGAGTTGATTTAAAAAGAAAATATTAATACCTGGTGCTTGGATAGGTCAGTATGAAGGTAGGACTTAAATAGTTGACATTTAGGACCATTAGAGGCAGAAACCATTATTAGCTCTCTTTTGCAGAGGTCAGAGTGGAGAGAGTTTAACTGGTCACACAATATGCAAATGGTGGAGCTGGGTCTTGGCCCCAGATGCCAAATTTAGAAAATATTTTATTTAAAAAAGGATACACACAGAAAAGTGCACATATTGCACACGTATAGCTTCAATGATTTCACAAATTGAACGCACTCATGTAACAAGCACCCAAACAAAACCCAGCCGGCACCCAGAAGCCCCCCTCCTGTGCGCCCTTCCAGCCACCCCTCACCACCTGCTCCTCAGGTATCCAGACTTCCATCACACAGATTGCTTTTGCCTTTTCTTGAACCGTATCTAACTGGCACCACACAGTTTGTACTTTTCTGCATCTGGCATTATTTTAGTTAACACTGTGCTCAGAAAGTTCATCCGTGTTATGGTGTGCAGCAGAAGCTGGTTCTTCTTCCTATGGTGTGCTGGTATCACAATTTATTTACCCATTCTACTGTGATGGCCATTTGGGTTTTGCAAAGCTTGAAGCTCTGCTGCCCTCCACAGATACCTGCACATCACACAGTAAGCAGGACTTTCTCTAAGGAGCTAGAGACCAATGAGGGTGTGAAACACAAACCCACAATTACAGAACCGGTGCTTTCCCAAGTACGGAGTGGCCTTGAGGTTGGCCAGGGTGGTGAGTGGTTTGGACAATCTTAGTGCTTATCTGTGGCATTGCACTTTATACGGTACTTTTTCCCAGCAGCGCTTCATTGCCCTGTCCGCA